GGGCCGGTGGTGGCATAAGGGGGAAATTGAAGAGCCGCGGGAGAAAATCAGAGGTGCCAACGAAGCCAGCGCTAGAGGAAGCGAGGCGGCAGCGCAGGGAGCAGAGCCACATAAGCCGATGCTTCCTCTATAGCACCGGCTCCTGTCACAGGCGGAGTGATACCAAATGCACTCCGCCTGTGAGGAATACATAGTGAAAGCTCGCTTTTTTCATTCTGGCCAGCGATTGGTTACAAAATTGCTCTTGCAAAGGTACAGCACCCCTGATTGCCCTGATCACCATATTTTTGTACATGAATAAGTGTGGATTGCTGTACAAAAAAAAATAAGACCTACCCCGAATTTAAGACCTAGTGCGTTTTTTTTCAGCCCAAAAAAATATAAGACAGTTTTCGGGGAAACACGGTGGTAGCTCTGTATTAGAATGAAATAGAGTAACTTGAGGCCTGGATCTCTAAGGACATCTAGTGGTACATGTGACAAATTACATGTCATTTAGAATGTATTTTTGCTCCCAAATCATTCCCTATTAGGGCTTTGGCACACACACATATTTAAATACCCCCATCTATGCTGTATCTTTCTGCCAGTGACTGTCAGAAAAATCCACTGTAAAAAACACAAGTTTTGGCACGTAATTACTTGCATTTATGCACGTTTACTGTGTAGAAGCATATGCGCGTAAACGCATTCATGTACACGCGTGCATACACATAAATGAAAATACGGATCTAAACACCACAATGTACATGGACACTATGAAGTTGATTTACAAAAGGTAAATAATAGGCACTTTGCAAAGGAATTTGCACTTTGCAGTGGTGGTCTCCCCTTAGCTTAATGCATGAAGGGAAGCTGACTTGCATCATCCAATCACATGCAAGCAAAAATACAGTTTGTTTTGTTGTTTTCTTGCACGTGATTGGGTATTGCAAAAAGTGACAATTCACCATATCCATAAATCTAGGAGGGAACTTCTGCTTCAAATTGCAAATTCCCTTGCACAATGAACATCTTATTTGCCTTTAATAAAGCAACCCCATTGGTTCAAATAGAGCTGCATTCAGAGGCATGAGGCTTTACTTAAACAGTCTACTAATAAGGATGAGCTCAGGTTTGGACTGAACCTGGAAGCATATCCCTTCCGCTGCTCCAATCAGCTGCAGTCAGGGCCATTCCCTGCCTGCAGCTGCAAGTTAAAGGAGAACTATGGGGTTAGGGCTTTTCCCCATAGTTCTCCTTAGGGTAACGGGAGGACACAAACTAGCGTCCTCCCGTCCTATCTAGAGGCAGAGCCAGCTGTACCCGCCCCTCCCCCGTCCGTTCCGCCAGTCAGCGCTGGCGGATCGGAGGGGGGAGGGGGGAATCTAGCCCCTCCCCTGTCACGGCAGAGAGCCGTGACAGGATCGAGAAGTGAGCGAACGCCGGTATGTGTTTGCTCACTTCCCGATCTACTGAGCCGACCTGTGACAGTATCATTGTCACAGGTCGGCTAGAACTATGAGGTGAGTGAAAAGCACCCCCCTAATAGTTCTCCTTTAACCTTATATGAACAACATGGTTGTCGATGACCCCCATTGCCAGAGCTGCCATTAAATGTAGGCAGCCACTTTTATTTAAAAACAAATGTCAGGCAAGCCTTAAGTGCGAGGCAGAAGTTCTGCATACTGAGGTAGTACGGGGTGAGCAGGTTCTGCAGGACAAAGCAGAGGTCAGGTTGCATTTATCTCATATTGGCTATGTGATAGTTAGTTGGGCTGCACACAGCAGAGGCCTGCATATCTGCAATTCCTCTGCTTTGCAGGTATAAACTTTCTCCTGCCTGGCACCTAAAAGCAGGTTGAATATTATTTTTTCATATTTATTTCATTATATCCATTCTTTAAACCTCCCCCAGGGGGAAGGGCAGACAGCAGCAAAAATTAAGTGTAGAATCCTTTGTCCGTAGGCTGCTTGCAGTTACCTGAATCATTGCTTACAGTCTTTTTGCGGGGAATATGCAGTATTTTTTTCTGTGGATAATGTTTTTTCATTTTTTTATACCAGGGCCACCGCGTACACTTGTTGCTGCCCTTTGTTTGTAGCATGTCACCACTTACACATTGCCATATCTCCCCATTGCCAGAGCTGCCATTAAATGTAATTGCAATGGTTGCGCACATTCTCCTAAAGTATAAGGAGGCCATCTTGGTAATTAACACCCCCGGAGGGCTTTGGGGAGGTCCTAGAGCATGGAAAGATGAGGCCATCAAATCTGGCATACCGCTGTGATATTTGGCATCCCTGTTGTTGCAGGTCTCTGGGGTGGTTAATGGTAAATCTACACTTGAAGTGGGGGGAGTCTGTTGGTGCAATTTAGACTGCTGGAGATTCGTGTGAAGGTCTCCTCTGGGGTTGCAGGTCCCCGGGAAGGATGAGGAGGCTTCTGCTGAAGTTGGGCGAAGCCATACGAGTCCTTTTTACACGCATAGGGGAGAGGGGAGGTCCTGGAGTCCGGAAAGGGAAGGCTGTGAAATCTGGTATTCCTCCCATGATATATTGCATGGTTGGCAGGGGTGGGGGTCAAGGGTTGTTTTGGGGCTATCCCTAAAGTGAGTGTAGGTTGTCAGGGTTATTTAGAAATCTTGCAGGGTTGCAGGGAGTTGATCATGGGAAAGTGAGGGTGGTTTTGCCAATTCCCCAGAAGTCCGTGGAGCTTGTCGGGGTAAAATAGACCCTTGGAGGGCTGGAGAAGGGTTTGCAGTGTTGTACAGGAAGCCTGTTAAATCTGGCATCTTCTCCAATATATATGACATCCCTGATTTTTAGGTTTCCAGGAGGATGGCTGAAGGTTCCTCCGTGCCTTTTCTTGATGTGGAAATGGTGGAAGTAGTTTGTGTGCTGCCGGCTGTAAGGTAAGGTGAAATACTGCATGCTGGGACACGGCAAACAAATGATGGGGAAATACAGTATGATATGCTGGGATACGATGGAAGTGGCAGTGAAATATGATATGCTGGCATATGGTGACGGTGAAATATGACATGCTGGGCTATGGTGACGGTGAAATATGACATGCTGGGATATGGTGATAGTGATGGTGAAGTATGCCATGCTGGGATATGGTGACAGTGATGGTGTAATATGACAAGCTGGGATATGGTGATAGTGATGGTGAAATATGCCATGCTGGGATATAGTGATAATGATGGTGAAATATGACACACTGGTACATGGTGATAATGATGGTGAAATCCGACATACTGGTACAAGGTGATAATAAAGGTGAAATCCGACATACTGGTACAAGGTGATAATGAAGGTGAAATCCGACATACTGGTACATGGCGATAATGATGGTGAAATCCAACATACTGGTACATGCTGATAATGATGGTGAAATCCGACATACTGGTACATGGTGATAATGATGGTGAAATCCAACATACTGGTACATGCTGATAATGATGGTGAAATCCGACATACTGGTACATGGTGATAATGATGGTGAAATCCAACATACTGGTACATGCTGATAATGATGGTGAAATCCGACATACTGGTACATGGTGATAATGATGGTGAAATCCGACGTACTGGTACATGGTGATAATGATGGTGAGATACGACATACAGGTACACGGTGAAAGTGATATTGAAATAGGATGCGATACGGTTACAGTGACGGAGTAATATGACATGCTGGGACACGGTGACGGTGAAATATGACATGCTGGGATACGGTTACAGTGAAATATGACATGGTGAGATACGGTGACAGTGATGGTGTAATATGACATGCTGGGATATGGTGAAAGTGACGGTGTAATATGACATGCTGGGACACAGTGATGGTGAAATATGACATGTTGGGACACAGTGAAGGTGAAATATGACATGCTGGGACACGGTGACGGTGAAATATAACATGCTGGGATACGGTGACAGTGAAGGTGTAATATGACATGCTGCGACACGGTGAAAGTGACGGTGTAATATGACATGCTGGGATACGGTGACAGTGAAGGTGTAATATGACATGCTGGGATATGGTGAAAGTGACGGTGTAATATGACATGCTGGGACACAGCGACTGTGAAATATGACATGCTGGGACACGGGGACGGTGAAATATGACATGCTGGGATACAGTGACAGTGACGGTGTAATATGACATGCTGGGACACAGTGACGGTGAAATATGACATGCTGGGACACGGTGACGGTGAAATATGACATGCTGGGACACGGTGACGGTGAAATATGACATGCTGGGATACGGTGACAGTGACGGTGTAATATGACATGCTGGGACACAGTGACGGTGTAATATGACATGCTGGGACACAATGACGGTGAAATATGTCATGCTGGGATACGGTGACAGTGACGGTGAAATATGACATGCTGGGACACGGTGACGGTGAAAAATGACATGCTGGGACACAGTGACGGTGAAATATGACATGCTGGGACACGGTGACGGTGAAAAATGACATGCTGGGACACAGTGACGGTGAAATATGACATGCTGGGACACTCTTTACTAATGTCACTGTCAGCTGAATGAAGAGACAGAAGAACATTTATTATTTCATTATTGGATTGTGTCCATCCTGTGTACATTCATTTTCAATCCACTCATTGAAAGTTGTTTACAGCAAATGGGTGAGCTTCTCTTCAGCCATCAGCATGATATCCATTTAACAGACAGAAAAGTGTTCTTCCTGCTGCTGCATAGAAGTCTGATATTTTTATGAATGAGATGAAAAGTCCTGAAATCGGCTGAAGAAGAACCGACAGGCTTTCTCCATCCACAGAAGTTTGATGGAATATAACGTCCGAGGGCATTTGGCAGACGCCTCTTCCTGCCAGTACACCAGCCTCGGGATCGGGAGCGCGCACTCTAAGCTGCGAGCACGCGCAGGGCAGCGAGCACGCAGGCCGGGGGTGACTGCATGCAGACGTTCTCTCTACACCTGCACTCTATGGTATGTAGTTCTTCCGGCTCTCAGCTTCCTGTTCACCCTGTAAGCACATGTGAAGTGTGCAGGGACTCCAGAGCAGAATGATGGAGGAGGAAGAAATTCGTGTAGTTCGTTGTGGGGGGAGCAACATTAATGATCGTAGAGCTGTGTTTTCTGCTAATTCCTTGTAAGTGGAAACTGATATATAAAAGATTGCTGGCTGACTGTTCTGTAACTGTTTTCTGTTAGGTTTGGTAACTATCCTCTTACTTTTTTTTAGGTCCACAGTGTTAATCATTTGTGTAAGCGCTTTATTATACATGAATACATGAACCCTGTGCAGAAGTGTTCAGGCTGCAGTTGTTTACCTTCAGAAAATGTCAGTTGCCTGGCTGTCCCGGCTTCATTATTTATTATTTTTGAGTCACTAACTTGGGGCAAGTGTGCAGATTAGGTCAGAGGGAAGATAAGGTTACAGTGAACACAGAGTTCCTGATCTGCTGATCAGTGTTTCAGTAATAAATCCATTGGGTGAGCATGGCTGCTGAGCAGCTGGCATTTTCAGAAAGTGAAGTAGGCTTCATTCAGTACAGGTTTCCTATACAGGGAACCCTTTTAGGACAGATGTATGGTAGCGGCAATTACTGCCTTGTTTTTGAAGGTGCATTCTCATTGCCTGTCATCTTCATATTTTGCTTATTTGTGTGCCAGAGACCTTTAAAGATGTCTTGTTTTTTTTTGTAGTGTTAGACGGATGTGTTGTCATACATAAACGTGCATTTCCTTTGTATGCTGACATGCATTGTTTATGCATATTGACTTGTGTTCATAGAAGAGGAAAGAGTTAATGAAGCTAATTAATACATGCTGCCAGCACATCAGAATGCATGTTACATGTATGTAACATGCAGCATAAAAACAATATGTTGTATTTTTCTCCAAATGCTCCAAGATGGGAACAGGCACTACTTTTATTCTGCAGTAACGCGTATGTTAGAATGCAACAGTGTACAGGGCCCTCAAGAGCTTCAGACATTATTTCTAGCATATCACAGCTCATTGTACAGTAGACTCTTCATCTTTTAAATTGTATGTGGAGCAACTAATGTTGAATCAAAATAACCCCATGTAAAATCATTCAAGTGACATTAAACTATGTATTTTTGTTTCCATCCCCCCAATGTTAGGGTAAGGACTTACCTTAAATGATGTCTCTTAATCCCATCTTCTTCTTCTTCTTTCCAGTCGTTTTCATCTGTCCCTCCAGCGCTGCTGCGGGTCTCTGATCCAGCGCTGACTCCTCTGTTCTTGCTGGCACTTCCCGACCCACGGTGTCTGCATGCGGGTGCACGCCGTCCATATACTTACCTTGTGTCTCTCCTCGTCTCCCAGCTGAAAATCTGAACTGCGCATGCGCCCGCCCCAAGATGCTTTGCAACCGTCTGAGATTTTTGGACGGGAGCGCGCGGGGAAGACGGGGTAAGTTTTTAAAGCGGTTAAAAAAAAAATTGTTTGCATATATCTACTGCTTGCTAGCTGTAGATATATGCAAAAAAACTGAGGGTTTAAAAACCCTTTAACATCAGTTACATCCCTCTATACATGTCATAGCCACCCCACATGCACTTTACCGGAGGGTTTAATAACCCTTTAATGTAATCCATTTTCTTTTCACTGAATTTATGCTGATAAGTCAGTTACCAACTTTTGTTGTTGTAAAGTGATTTATTTTTTCTCTTTATTAGTAGAAATTAAAGGGTGTTTTAAACCCTCATTTGTTTTTGCATATATCTACTGCTAGCAAGCAGTAGATATATGCAAAACGACAACAACAAAAAATGATCTTGGGGCGGGCGCATGCGCAGTTTAGATGTTCGCCCGGGAGAGGAGGAGAGACACAAGGGAAGTATATGGAGCAGCGTGGACCCGCACAGACTACGTGGGATGTGAGCGAAGAGGAGGACAGAGGAGTCAGCGCTGGATCGGAGACCTGCACCAGCGCTGGAGGGACAGCTAAAAACTCCTGGAAAGAAGATGATGATCGGATTAAGAAGCATCATTTAAGGTAAGTCCTTATATTAGCCCTGTAGGGGACAGGGGTGGAAATTTGGCCTTAATGTCACTTTAAGTTACTGCCACACCATGGAGCTTACACAAGGCTCCTTTTCTTTGCACCTGTGGATAAACAGTGCAGCAGATGATTGAAGAACTTGGGCATAGGAGATATATCCTAAAGGTTCTAGGTTGTATCGCCTATGCCCTGTTCTTTGTACCTTGCCACTGCTCCCCATCCCAGGTACTAGCTAATCCTGGTTGTCAAAGTGACACCCAAGGCTTGCTTTGTATTATTATATGAGTGACTGCAGCCGCTTTGGTGTGTAATGACAATTGAAGATTGTCTGCAGGTGTCATTCAGAAATGCAATATTATATCACTCATATGTAGATCTAAGGAATGACCGTTAAAGTGGATTTTTCTTTTGTTTTTGGGTCCCCTCTTCTATAATTAAAACAATAGTGGCAGGTTATATGCTGAAGTTCTGCTTTATTCTGCATCTGTCCTCAGTTTAAGCAACAGCACAAGTAAAGAAAAAAAAAAAAACTACGATCTGTTTTTATTTAACCCAATATTAATCCTAACCATAATTGGCCCTAATAAACTAATTTTTCTACTGATTTCTTTTTTTACCATTAATATTTAAACTTTTTTTGCTTTCATTTTTTATTTGCCATTTCTTATAAAACACTTTTTTGGTAAGATAAAACTGCCAAAAGAAAGCTTTGTCTTCAAAAAATGTGTTATGACAAGGTTAACTAAACTAATTAAGGGGATGGAGGACCAAAGCTATGAGACAAGGTTACTAAACTTAAATATGTTCACGCTGGAAGTGCTGAGATTAAGGGGGGGCATGATTTTGATGTTCAATGGGGATAGCAGCATCAGCAGTAAACTTTTTACTATAAACTCCATAACAAAGACTAGAGGCCACCACCTAAAACTGGTGGCGAAAAGATTTAAAAGGGGCGTAGGGGGTTCTTCTCAGTTAGGGTCTGGAACTTGCTGCCACAAGCAGTGGTATCAGCTAAGAGTGTGGAATCATTCAAAAAGCATTTGGACAATTTCCCAAGAGACCGTAACATACGGGGGCACATCTACTATTAAAACAAGACCACACAGGGACGCAAACACATGCAGAATCACATGCATACACGCAATAGGTTAAACTTGATGGACCTGTGTCTTTATTTGACCTCAAATACTATGTAACTATGTTATTGATGAATAAATAGGCCCATAGTGTAAATGTAAATATCGCTTTACTTATTTAAAAAAAAATATAGGTGCAAGTGCTCATGAGGTTTTGCAGCTGCTGGTGACAGCATTATTTTGAATCAATGCTTTACCCTTTTTGGACAGAGCACAGGTTTACTTTAAATGAAATGAACCCCTACTTTTGCAGTGAAATGTCAGGAAACAGGAATAGCTCATTGTTTGCATAAAAATATTATAGTATTGACAGTTGTGAAAAGGCCCAGAATTTACATTTCAGAGCTTTATGAAGAGGCCCTCAGGAGTATTGTCTGATTTCCCAGGGCCGTTATTTACCTTTCTTGGGTGTTTAAAAGTTTTTCCACATTTTACAACAGCAGTAAATGTGCTTTCCTTTTTCTTTTCTTTTTTAACAGGTTTCTCTTCTGTGTCTCTGGGGACTTCATCAAAGTCTTTAGCACTTCCACACAGGAATGCATTCATGTCTTACAGGGCCATAGTGCTGTGGTGACTGGAATTGAGCTGAACCCAAGGAATTACCTGCAGGTAACCAGCAAGCTTTTGATAACACCATGACCCTTTCATATTGTTTTGCTACCAGTAGGTTTAAAAGTTTAACCACTTGCTGACTGGGGTATTAAAGCCCCTTCCTGCCCAGGCCATTTTTCAGTATTCAGCGCTGCGCTTCTTTGACATTTATTCCGTCATGCAACGCTGTACTGAAATTAATTTTATACCATTTATTTTTTTTACTTTTAAACTTGATTGCTATCACATAGGGGGCTAAAAATCCCCCAATGTGATAGCCAAAAGCAATGACAGGTCCTCTTTATAAAGACATCAGGGGTCTCTGAGACCCCTAATGTCACCTAGGGACCCCCAAAGAAGCTGATGAAGCAGACATCTGCTCCATCAGCTACTTCTGTGTCTCTCAGCCAGAGAAATGACAACTAAAGGCGGAATTGATGTAATAGACATCGCTTCCGACTTTAGAGAGAGAAGGAAGAGAGGTCAGCGGTGGGGGAAATGCTGATCTCTCCTCCTCACTACGGGCAGTCGCTGTGCCGGTCCCAGGCTCGCAGGAGAGACAGCGGAGCCCATGATAACCGGCAGCGACCGGGGGTGTCACGGTAATACAGGTGATCGGACGGCTGTAGAGCCGGCCGAGTGCTTGTATACAACAGCTGGCGACATGGTAAATCATCATCGGGAAGCATCCGCCGTCCGCCTGTAATTTTACAACGGGCGGACGGCAAGGGGTTAAGGAGTCAAATCTAATTGCTATGCAATACTTTCCTGTTTACAAAGCATTAGTGCTTTGAGCACGGATGTTAATGTTCTAGTTCCACCATAACCTTACTTGGAGTTTGTACATTATTCCATTATTTGGGTGGATTTCATTAGGTTTGTCTGGTTTCCATCTATGCTGGATACACACTGGAATGTTCTGAACATATTGTTCGGGTAGGCTTGTGTTTCTGTGGTAGATGATGGATGGTAAATTCAACCAAGGAATTTTCGCTTTAGGGCCTGTTCACACGACGTCCGTTTTGTGTGCTGACCGGCTCCGTACGCTGCAGCACTCAAAATGCATCCCAATGTATCCCTATGTGTTTTATGGGCTCCAGTTCTCACGTGCGCAGTCCGTTCAGCTTACGACAGAAAAAATACTGAATGTCACATTTTGTACGGTCAGGAAGCGCAAACGCATTAAAAGTGCACTGCACTGCAGCTAACATACTAACAGCCCCACTCCAGCAAAAAAAACAATTTTTTTAAATTTATTTTTTACTGGAACGCATCAAAAACGTGGCAAAAACGCACTGCATCAGTCTGCAGATCCGCACCTGATCTCATGTGAACAGGCCCTCAGTCTAGCACGTAGCTCTCCTCTTCAGTCTCCATAATGTAACTAGTACTGTTATCTTGTTTTGGTTGCTTGTTTTGTATAGTTTTAATGAAAATGTATTTTTATTTTTCAGCTTTACTCCTGTTCGTTGGATGGTACTATTAAATTATGGGATTTTATGGATGGTATACTAATTAAGGTATATTTAATATACTTTATTGTTTTATTTGATTTTTTTTTTTTTTTCTTTTCACTGATGGTTGGTGTTTATTTTTATAACTCTTTTAAACTTTATTTTTTTTTTTTAGAATTTCATAATAGATGTCAAACTGTTTGGTTTGTATACTGCTGTCAAAGAAGACCTTGTATATGCTATTGTACCGAAGAATAATGGTGGAGCTTCAGGTTTGTTGAATCTTGTACATGTTTTATTTTTATGTCCCAACAATAGATTATAATTTAGTTAGAAATAGCACAGGTTATGGGGGCAGGGGGCAGGCCAGCCCATGACTGTAAAAGTTAAGATGTGCATAATTTAAAGCAGACCCCAAAGGTTTACTTTATGGTATAGGGGTTGGGAGAGTAGAAGTGTGTCTTATTTTGTCTGTAGGCCCAGTTCAGCTCTAGCTTTGGAAACCTCTTACCTGCTAAGCTCCATTTTCCTTTCTGGTATTGTACAGAGTATGGCCTCTTTTTGGGAGCATTTTGCAGGTAGTTTTCACCTCGGCACATGCTGGGTTTGAAAGTGTGTGTACTATGGCTAGTACTTTGCAAAGCAGTGGATTGCTGAGACGTAGCTGGCAACATGCTGTCTGCAGTGTTAGGATCATGGCTGCTTTGTGTTCTCTATTGCTTCTCCCTGCTTTCAGGGTGGCCAAGCAAGGGGCATACCACTGTCAAAAAATGGTGTTAACAGTACTTAAATAATATGTTTTGTTAATCAAAACAACTGTGTGTGTAATTTAATTTAATTTTTTAGACACATTTCAGTTGGTTTCTGTAAAGCTACCAAAGTCAGTCGACCGTGAATGTGAAGCCAAAGAAATGTCGGTGATATCTGAATATATTCGTCCATCACCAAAATGTACAGCAGTTGGCAGAGATGTGAGTGTTGAATTGCTTTGTATAAATTAGTGTTGCTTTCATTGAATTTCCTTATTGCAATATGAGCCTTTAAGTGATATTAAAGTCAGAAGGATTTTAAACTTTATCAAATGCTCTTAAAATCACTTACAATGAATGCTACTCCTTGATGCTTAAACGTTTTCAAGGTTATTCACAAAAGGGCGAAGAGTTTAAGCCCTCGTTCACACCTGAACGTTTTGTAGCGCGTTCTACGCTCGGCGAACGCTCTACAAAACGCTCAAACATCTAAATCCCATTGTATTCAATGGTCTGGTTCCCACCTTGGCGTATTTCCGCCTGTCCCTATCGCGCTACAAAACGGCCCACGCCTAAAAAGGTACATGTACTACTTTGGGCCGTTTTTGTTGCGCGTTTCCATTGGGATACAGCCAAGTAGCCCTCGGAAACGCGCGTATGTCGAGCAATTTTTTTACCGCGACTCGCGGTAAAAAAAACGCGACAGACGCGCATATGCAATACGCCTAGGTGTGACCCAGGGCTTAAGAAGGCAGGAGAAGTTAACAATCCAGGACAACATAGCTGATTTTGAAAAATTCTCACTTCACTCTTCACTTTCCAGTTCATCTATGTTGTCCTAGATTGTTCACTTCTCCTGCCCTCTCCAAACTCTTCACCCTTTTGAGAATGACCTTGTCAGTTTCCTGCAGAATCAGCTGGTCCCCTGAGCACTGTTCCTGACTTCTTGTTTTAGAGTGACTCCTTTCTCAAGCAGCGTGCTATGCAGTCACCCTTGTGTGTGCTAGTATGCTGCGTGTCTCCACAAACACAGCAAATCAAGCTACTCACCTCCCCCCTGGCCCCCTCTCCTCCCTTCTTCAAGCCAGGAGATGAACAGTTGCTGGAGTCTGCACTGTCGTTTGGGATCTTGTACTGGACAGGAAGTTCAGGGAAGCTGAGCTGAGAGACTTGGGAGCAGCTGTTCAGAAACATGATGATTGTGTTTTGGTGAAAATGCAAAGCAATGATTTGCTGAGCAATGTATATTTGTTTGATCTGGATTCATTATTGATAAAAAGTTTGAGAGTTTAAAAGAGAACTATGGGGGTAAGTGTTTTTCCCCATAGTTCTGTTTAGGGTCACAGGAGGACATATACTAACCTCCTCACGTGACCCAAAACTCAGTATTTTGCGGGCTATTGCCCGCGATATACTGAGAGCACCGCAGCCGGGACGAATCCCGACAATACTATCTGGATCCACCCTGCTGCGTGAGAGGCAGAGACAGCTGTGCCTGCACCCTCCTCCGTCTGTTCCTCCACTCGGCACTGGAGGATAGGAGGGGGAAGGGGGGAAACCCTGCGAGGAGTGGTGACTGACTGTCACCGGTCTCTGCAGGCAGAGGATCAGAAAGTGAGCGAGCAACGGTATGTGTTCGCTCACTTCCCGTTCAAAAGAGCCGACGTGTGACAGCTTCTTTGTCGCAGGTCAGCTCTAACCATGGGGATGAGTGGAAACCACTCCCCTCACAGTTCTCCTTAACGGAGGGATTTGTTTTTTTTGACATGGCATCAAGTCTTTTTTTTTCATTCTGGATTTAACCTGGCCAAATCCTGTGCGTGGGTTTAGGTCTGCAACAAACTAATCGAATAATCAATAATGAGAATAGTTGTCATCTATTCTCATTATTAATTTAGTTGGTTGGATCCCCAGCTCTCTCCTCCATGCTGGGAGGGAGGGCACAGCAAGCAATGGGCTGTAAATACAAGATTCCATCTGCGGAATCTTGCCACTGGCAGCTGTCATTCCTGGCTGAAGCAATTCAAGCGCCATATGCTTACAATTCAATAAAAAAAAAAAAAAAGTGGGAAAAATGTAATTTCCAGTTTTGGCCTGACAAATTCTGCTGCGGCAGGTGCGTTGCAGTGTCGTTCATTTCAATGGCAACCCACACGTGCCTACTACCCACAGTGTGATCGCCCGCGCTGGAACGCACAGTACCGCAGTGCCGTGCATTCCAATTCACTGCGATTGCAAAAAAGTGTGCATGCAGTTTTATTCTGAAGTAAACTTTGTAACACTGCATTTGTGTATTTTATTTTAAATTAAGGTTGGTATTTATTCTTTTTTTTAATCTGATTGAGAAAAAAAAAAAGCCAACTAATTGATTCATGAAAATAATAATTTGCTGCAGCCCTACATGGGTTTCATAAGAGGCCCATGCTTTTACCTTTGCATTTAATGTGTGGTAGATTTGGATCAGAAAAACCTGTAAACATCTTTTTCCTGGAATCCTTTTGTCACCTCTCACTTGCAATTTTTTTATGACCAGCAGCAGAGCATTAATAATTACAATAATAAGCATTATTAATAATAAAAGTGACCTCTGTTGAAGTGGAGAATTGATCTTACCCCCAGGCAAATTATGCCACAACATTGGTCTCCTGGTAGCCACTAACAAAGTGAAACATCTAAGCAATTCCAGAAGAAAGGATAGTAATCCTTGTCACTAATATATATATCTCCAGCCGCAAAGCTGCTGTGCTGGTCCCGGGCTCACACCGGGAACAGCGGAGCCTGGGATCGCCAGCAGTGGCGGCGACGGATGGGGGGGCCCGCACACCCAACCGGATATTACAAGCGATCGGGTGTCTCTACAGACGCCCGAACACTTGTATGTAAACAGCCATCGTTGGCTGTTTACATTCAAAGCCTATCGGCGGGCACGAGTGGAACGGGATAGGATGTCTAAAGACGCCCACCCGCCCTCAAGAAGCCGCTGTCCGGCCGTTTAATTACAACGGCCGGACAGCAGGTAGTTAAAGAATAATTGTGAGCTGGCAATATTATGGTTCCTATAGTCACTAGGTAGTGAACAAGTAAAAGGATGACTGCCCTGATGCACAAACTTTCAAAATCATGTTTGTAATGACAGCTCACATATTTCTATCCTTAAAGGGCCCACTTTAAGTTGACGTTTGTACCGTCTATACAAACATAAATTTTTAGGCAATTTCTTCCACTTTTAGCCAGCTTACTAACAAAATGAAAGCAGAGGGCAAGACAGTCTTCCACCAACCAGTTACTTTAAAAATGTTTGCGATAGGTTGCTTCAATCAGTTCAACCACCTTTACAATGGAAACCTGGTTAAAAGTGGTGGTAATTGTTTGACAACTGCCATGTATGTACCAGCATGAAGCAATATATAAAATGACAAGAGCAATGCTAAAAGGCATACCACACCATATAGCATACCAAAACGCTATACAACCCTAGCAATTGATATATTCCTTTTTTTTTTTTTTTCCTGTGAAGGATGAATATATTGCCACAGTGAATGGATTAAACCTCTTGGTCTATTATCTCAAAAACAAAAAGTGTTTCAGGTAAGGATGACTTAATATGCTAATACATGGTTGGTTGTCTGAAAAGGTTCTGATTTATCCAGGCCTCGGTATAGCTAGTAGTAGTTAGTCTCTTTTAACTGAACTTGTTCTATGATGTTGAAGATGTTTCTTCGCCAATCATCCATGTAGCTTGGCACCATTCAGATTGGGTTTGAGTGACTTGTGTGGCCAGAAATGCTGGGGTATGTACATGCACCAAATAAAACTAAAAAAAAGACACTACTATCTACATGGTTTATTGTCTTGATTTGTTTTTTCTTTGGGGGGAGTGTGCTTTCCTCCATCCAGCATTTTATTTCCATTCATTGAAATGTGAAGTTCTGATGCATTAAGCACTACTGTACTTTATAAGTGTGTCAGGATGTGCATTTTCTTTGTTTTTAACCCAAATATTACGCACTTGGGGTCACGGATCCAACAGAACATAACATTTGGCAAGATAATCACACAACCAGCATATACACATATAGTTGCAGACATACTGTGACAATACCACTCCTGCCTACTCAGAAAGGACCAAAACATACCAGTATCCCCAGCTTATAAATACATCTTGATACAGTACTGAAAATGTAACCCAAAGTTCATGCTGCCAAGAGTCCAGAGTCAAATGTGAATTGGAGAGTAGGACAAGTAACAAACTAGCTAACCAGAAGTCCAACTAGGTAGGTATCCCTTTTTGATCACCTCAATTTAACCTCAATTTGCTATTTAATTTTTTATGGCCTTACTGCTTTAGATCTGGGCCCCTAAATGTAATTCTGTTAGGGTTCATATCTTCCTTTTTAGGTCTGTTTCAAACATTTTTGCTTACTTTTTAATACTATTCTGAAAGGTGTTTCATTCCACTAGTGATATTGCAAGCATCCTACACGATTTTATGGAAATTCTGAAAATGTACTGCTCTCGCAAATTCAAAGTGAAATATTCATCTCTACCCATTTTATTCAAAGCTTTTATCTTGTTGGAAGCTTAAATGAAGGATATTTGGTGAAAATAAAATGGTATGCCGGTACTGCATGATCATGCTAAATACTTAATGGCAAAATGTGCTGTTTCATTCAGGTTCAGTTTAGGAGCAACAAGCAAAAAGGGTGGCAACAATATATTCACTGTTGTGAAATGCCATCCTTATGAAGACTGCATAGCTACAGGACATAAAGATGGCAAGATTCGACTCTGGTAAGTGTTTAGATACCTTTTAAATATGTTAAATATTTTGCATTTTTATTCAGGTTTGTAAATTATTATTTTTTTCTAGAGATCTCACCTGGATTCACCTAAAACCTTCCTGCTTTAGAGAAAAGACAGGGTTGGTTTAGGGAAAATAATCCATGTGATGCAGTTCATTGAAGCCCTGGAGCATGAAATATCCAAATTAAGTCTGCTTTAGCGGATCAAATATTTCTATCCTGCCACATACCCTTTGAGCTAATGATAGACCAATACTCATGAAAATATTACTTTCTTTCTCGTCCTTTGCGGCACTTAGGAATACAGATATTGTTGGGATATACTGCCGCCTACAGGAGGTTTTGGAAACTGGCAAACAGAAAAAATCCTTAGACTAGCCCCGAATAACCCCTCCTCTACCCAGCATGCCTTGGTTTTTAGCTAGTTTCTTTTTTTTTTTTTTTCTTCAGTTCTGCTGAGAGTCTCACCAATCTTTTTTTGCCTTTTGGGATTCTTCTTCTATTGACTGCAATCAAAATTTCTCTCTACCTTACTGCTTGAGCTTGCTTTTACATGGCAACTATCTGTGTCAGCCTTTCCTGCAGCCTGACTTTGGAATGCCGTGCCACTTTTAGCCTGGAATCTGACCTTCGGGCACTAGGTTCCTCTAGTGGTGCACTTCGGACTTTGAGTGCTTGCCCTGTCCTCGAAGACTCTAGCCTGATTGGGCATAGCAATGGGAGCTACTTCATATAATTAAACCACTGGGCACTTTTCAGCTTTCCTGCTGCCCTCCTCCCCTGACCTTGTTTATCTCTGGCTATCAGGCCCTCATCAGCCTCCAGTTGCCTGGTTTTGTGAGTATCTGAGATGCTGCTTTGGTTCCTTGAGCCTAGCTGCATCACTGCCATGCGGTCACAATATTTGGAAGTAGAGAGCGCTGAATCTGGGCAATTGTTCTGTTTAAAAAATTTTTTTTCATCCAATAGTGGTTCAGTGATGGGTATATATGCTGTCATAGGTGCCTGCAGTCACAAATACATTTTTTTTGCAGATCACCACCATAGAGGCTACTGAGCTTTCCCCTTGCATAGTGTGTTTTTGATCTTCCCGAGGCTTTAGAACAAGCTGGGCCTTTTGGTTGAAGTGTTTATCTCTAACTCAAATTCAGATACTCCACAGTATCTCTGATGAGACTGTTTTTGAGGTGCTGCAGTCTCTTGCAGTTAGTATTACAATACATTTTGGGCTTATTGATGCAGTGTGCTCTACACTGCATTTGGAAGATCATCCTACTGTCCACAGCCTTGGGTCTTTCAGAGCCCTTTTAGCTTAGTCAGGGTTTTTCCTGGTAGGATTTGCTCAGTGAGGTTAGTTGTCTGGCCATCTTGATCTGGCTATTGATCTTAGGGGTTCAGGGTTGTAAATGCCTCGGGCCTACCCACTAAGAGTGGCTGGTTTTTCTGTCCAGGATCTCTGGACAGGTTCCTTCCCAGAACCTGTTGGACCCTTTTCTTGTTGACCATATGAAGGTTTTGTTCTACCCTACATGGCTATTTTGCCGTTTTGGTTGATTACTGTATATACTCGAGTATAAGCCGAGTTTTTCAGCCCATTTTTTGTGCTGAAAAGTGCCCCCCTCGGCTTATACTCGAGTCAGCTTCTCAGTGGTCAGGTTTCTTCTTACTTACCTCGCCGAGCGTCGCGTCACTGCTGCTCCGGTGGGCGGCGCTCCGAGCGGGGTCATCTGGCAGTCTCCGGGTCCTAATTTAGGTGGCCGGAGACTGCCAGATGACCCTGCTCGGAGCG